TTTATTAAAAAATGTGTTAACATTTCTTTTTTAATTTTAATTACTTGTTATGATTATAATTTTGTTAAAAATAGTTTTTGGACCCTTTAAATTTTTGTTTTTACTTTCTTCAAAAATTTAGAACTCAATTCAATTATACTATTGTAAAAGTTTCCAAAAACTCTTTTTCTTTGCACTCAACTTCTCTCAAGCTCTCAGCTCTGCTCTCTATTTTTCTGCACGTTTTATTCATTTCCATATCCAGGATAAAATATTTCCTTACTAATGCCAACTGACAAGAGCAATGAATTGCCAATTATTTATAACCGTTAGGCGGCAAAAATGTTCACATTCTTCACTCACAGGCATTCCGATAAGTAATCGCATGTGTCCATATGAATTTAGCATGTGATGTTAGAACAAGTTTAAGCAAAAGTGTATAAGTTGGATGCTTGCATGCCACATTTGGTGTTGCATGCAATTTCAGATTTGCATGTAAAGTCATATGTGCATAAGCAGGCGCAAACATTASTTTGTTGTTGTTGTAATAACACGCTAACATCTTACTGCCAAAATCATTCAGCTGGTGGCTAAATCACTAGTTAGTTGCAGTAATTGTTGTTGTGGCAAATATAATGTACTAAAAGAGTTCTCTTCGAAACAACAATTTCAAGCAACAACAATAAATGGCTTTATAAATCGACATAAGTGCTTGTTTTACATTTTTTTATGCCAATCTAAATGATTTATACCAGTTGTTTGTTCGATTCAACACTCTCTAAAGTTGAATAAAGTAAAAGCAATTGTTTTATATACTACAATAAAGTAGTTAAGTCGCTTGGTTTTCTTTTGATTTTGTTTATACCAGTATTTTAGATTTATACCAGTGGCTTAATCGATTCATTTCACTTAAAAAGCTTGAAAAAGTTGAAGTAATGTGGTTTAAATACTTTTTATAGGACTTTTTGTTTATACCAGTGTCTTAGTTTTATACCAATTGTTTGTTTGCTTTGTCTTTTTTGAGTTTCTCAAACCAAAGGAGGTGTTACCTAAAAAGTGCCTGAAGAGATTAATACTTTCAATGTAATTGAATATACCAATTTATACGATTTTTACCAGTTGTGCTTTCTTTTCGCCACTCTCATAGATTTGGTATAAATAATTCTTGTGCGTTATTTGAACGAAAAAAATCTATGTAGAGACCTACATTTATCTATTTTTTAATTATACCCATTTATTGGATTTATACCAGTTGTGCGTTCGTTTCGCCACTCTCATAGATTTGGTATAAATTATTTTTTCTGTGCTATTTGAACGGAATAAATGTATGTACAGACCTGCATATATCTATTTGGCCTAAAAGCTCTCTTTCCGACTTTTCTTTTCGCGCTCGCTCACTTTTTTCCTTTTCTTTAATTAACTCTCAACCGCCATATTGATATTTATGTATTTATTCATTTCATGTGTTCCCGCAGCTACACAAATCTTTCAATCAACTATTCAATACACTTGACTATTGCCATTCAACATTTGCTCAATGTTTATTGCCACATTTTTGCTGTCAGTTTTAATGTTTAATTACACAACTTTATCATTTTTGCCTTAATAAAAATATAGCGACATTTTTTCTAAGCTGTTCAACCACAACATGACATATTTCAATCGCATTTCGTTTCTTTGCATATAAATATTACAAATATGGCAACACTGTCACAGCAAAAATTATTTAATTTTCGTTTTAATAACAGTTGTTTCATTTTATAACGCGTTATTGCTGTCGGATTGCATGTTGCTCCCGCCAGTTGTAATAATTAATGCAATGACAATGTTAACATCGGTGACAACAAAAACAATAATTACAAAAAAGCAGTTGCACATTGACATTCAGGCAAGTAATAAAGGCAAATAATTGTCATGTAAATGTTGAAATAAAAAATATTTATGCGAACAAATGACAAATGTGCACAGCTTAGTTGTTCTACAACAATAATAACAACAGTTGTAAGAAAAGTAATAAAAATGTCGTTCTCCAATGTTCAAATCGCGCAATAATAGTTATAATAGTTGACAACCAATGAGATAAATGCTTAGAAATATGTAAATCCTAAGATCATGGCTTGCACTGTAGGCTGAGTTTGGTTTAATAGTGCTTAAAATTTTTTTAAAAAAGCTCATAAAAGCTTTAAGCCCATTGAGCTTGCAGAAAATGTTGTAAAATTATTGTAAGAAAACCAAATCATTTATTTGTAAAAGCATTGTAGCCGGAAAACTTTTTCTAAAAAAGCTCTGAAAATTTTCGCACCCACTAAGCTTTTATAAAAAAGTAAAGATTGATTGAACTCATTTATTTCTTTCATCGGTCGACTTAGTTTCAGTATTATGAAATATATTAAACTATAAACTATAAATTTGTTTTGAAAAAGCTCAAAAAAGCTTCGAACACGTTAAGCTTTTATAAATTGAAATCATATTTGTGAAATTGCTCAAATAGTCTATCCTTTAGAGCACTGTTGATTGTTGTAAAAAGATTTTTGAGTTGAAACCTGTTTCTAAAAAGCCAATGAAGCAGATTTTTCAGAACCTAAAAGCTTTAAGCTTTAAGTGTGTTGTTTGTTGATATAAACATATGCTACAATAATAAATAGTTAAGCGAAAGGGGGAAAAATGGGCTTTGCAAATTTTGTTTGCACAAGCTCAGTGAAGTTTTTGATGAGCTTTCGTTATTTGAAGATGGTTTTACTTTTTTATGTCTACTTTAAGGTAAAAAAAGATACTGTTTTCAGCTTTCAGAACATAGTTTGTAGGTTGTATTTTTGTTTGTATTTTTATATAATAGTTAATTTTATATGACTTATAAGCTTTATCGAACTTTAAAAAGCTTGAGAAAACTTGCAAAGCTCTCACTCACTTTTTAGAAACTTCAAAGAGCTTTAAATGAGCTTTAAATGAGCTTTTTACAAAGCTTTCATGCATTTTTAGAAACTTTATAGAGTTTTTACCTCTTATTGTTGAAAGTTTTCAAAGAAAGCTCCCTTAGTGGAATAACTTATGAGAGCTTTTAGTTGGAAAAGTCTTTTGTGCATTCTTCTGAAAAATTAGTTACAAAACTTATAGCATAAGCAATTCTCGAATATGTAAAACACGATAATTAGTGGACAAACTTTAACTCGACATAGTAGCTTTAGAGCTTTCCAAGCAATATTACAGTTTCGACTTTAAATTTATTACCTTTCTCGCCCAAATGTTATAGTGCTACAATACATTCAAGCTTATGTAGTTTTTTTAGGCTTTAAAGCCTTCTAAGCAATCTTAAAGCTTGCACCGTAACTGCAGAACCTTGGTGACGCAAATGCTAGTACTATAGTTTATTGGAAGTGTTTTAAAGTTTTAAATGGCTTTAAGAGCTTTCAAGCTTCCTAAGCAATCTAAAAGTTCTGACTATAACTAAACCACTTCAGTGACTCACCGCAACTCAAATCGAAAATTAGTTGAGCGCAAGCGTTGAACATTGCCAAAAAAGGGTGGTGCTACAGGCAAACAACAAATGAACAAATAACAAGCAGCAGTGAGCTTTAACAGCAAAGGTTAATCATCGGTCTGATCGATTTGTCTTAATTTGCAAAGCGCTTTTGCTCGCTTTATGTACATAAACAAATCGTGTTCGCCGGACCGCACCGTTTTTGGTAAGACGTGTCGCGTACAAATGTGTTCAGTGCAAATTGTTGTTGTTTTTCGCTGTAGCTGTTGTTGCCACATCAGGTCGAATGCTTCGCGTTTGGCTGTGCATAAGCATTTTTGGTTGTTGGCGCCTTGTTTGGCATTTGATTTCAATAAATCACCAGGCAAATTAGAATCAGCAACGGACGCGGCAACAACAACAGCAGCAATAACGGCGACGCCAGCGCCACCATCGTCGCCAGCATCGTCATCATCGTCGTCGTCGTCGTTGTCGTCGTCGGGACCGCCCAACACTCAACACGCTTGTTAATCATACACGAAACGAGCTAACAACTGGACGGACAAGCGCACAAGACAGACGGCGCAGCATGCAACACACACACACACGCGCACAAACTGACTGAGGATGCTGTGCTCGCGTTTCGGAGATGGCTCATTGAATGCTCGTGTGCGGAGTTGCGACTCATCAGCATGTTGCGCACACAAATATAACCGTATAACTACCTGCCACAACAACAAGGGCAGTTGTATTTAACTAGTGTTGCAGCGCGCTGCCTGTGAGCAATCGGTAGTAAGTAGTTGGTAAAGCAAACAAGCTCTCGAAACCGACCGCTACTTGAACGCTTGTGTGTGTGGAATTGTGTGCGCGCACGCCTGGCGCCAACAAATCATCAGCGAAATCGCGCGCACCACGGCCAACCGGCAATTATCCTGACGTACCGTGTACTCTAAGGAGGCGCGCAGTCGGTTCTCAGGCTAATAAATATGAATGTGTGTGTATGTATGTATGTACTGTGGTGGCTTGCCGTAAGGTGTGGTCATAAACAGGGGTTACAAATTATAAGTAGAGGGTTCCGGGTGAAGCAAGTTGTGTGGGAGGGTAGAGAGCGGCAGAAAAGTTCGGAAAATTAAATGACACTTCGAATTATACAAACTTAGAATCCCTTTAAACAAAATACTGTTGCTAAAAGCTTTTGAAAGTTTTTATAAAGCTTTTTCAACACTAGACTACCAAAAATGAAAGCTTTCTCCTGAATTTCATAGGATTTCTAAAGTAAAAGTTCAAAAATAATTTTCGAGTCCTTGTACAATAGATACCTGCTGATATCTATAGACCTTTTGAGCTTTCATTTTATAAATATCTATAATTTAAAGCTTTAGTTCTAGCATTGGTAGAAAATATAACAATAATAAGCACTAATATTGATTTAATTATTTAAAGATAGCTTTAAAAGCTTTTGAGCTTTCTTTTTGTACAAAATTTTAATATAGCGCTTGCGATTATTTGCAGACGTAGAATTATGAAGAACTGGAAATGTTATGATTTTGAGGGGTTTTAATGTATTTAAAGCTTTTTGGAAAGCTTAATGAATGGCTTTAATTTTCTGTTCTACTTGGTAATAAAGGCCCTAATATTGGACTTTTGTATTTAAATAGAGAGCTTTAAAACCCACACGCAAAATCACTAAAAAGCTTTTGAGCTTTCATTTTTTTTAAATTATAAAACGGGAACATTCATACTATTTCTAACGTTATTAAAGCTTTTGTTATAGAAATTTCGTTCCTTCCGTTTTAGGATGTGGCTTTATGAGACACTCTTACTATTTTAAATCGAGGTACTTTGAGGTATTGCAAAACGCTGTATTACTTATTTTGCATTTTCGAAAAGTGCTTAAAGCTTTTTGAAGAGCTTAATAAATGGCAATGTTTGATCGCACATATCGCCGGTTTACTTATTCAGCTAAAATTTTTATTCCAATAAAGTGTTAGTACTTAAATAGTGAAAGCTTTCAAAAGCTTTATAAAGCTCTATAGTACTATTTCGATCTACTAAGTTCGAAAATTTAAAGCAGTCGTGCCTTGATAGCTTTATTTGCACTGAGCTCTAATTTTAGCAACAAAGAAATTATTTTGTGCGCTTTTTATCGGGTATTGACCACTGTACTTTACTTCTTTTTTGAATCAAGGGCTTATTTAATATATTTTTTAATAAAAAATTATCTACCTATGTTTTTTTTAATGAAAACTTTAAATAGAATATATTTTTTGGACTTTTTAGCGCGTATTATATCACTGTATTTTACTTTTAATTCCAGTCAAAATTTGATTTTATATTTTGTTTTCTTAAAAATCGTCTAATTTGTCTGATTTCTATTAGAAAATATGAAAAATTAATATTTTTTGCACTTTTGCCCCACTGTGCCTTCGCTCATGTGCAGTAATTTAGTAGTTCTATCGTTTTTTATTAGAATTTTATTGATACCTGTATGTTTTTCTGCTCACACCGCTTATTTAACGCTAAATACTATGTTATCCATCACTTGTGGCACGAAAATTAGAAAAACAATTTAAAGAAAACCATAAACCGTACAGGACAAGGCATTAATTTTTTTATTCGTTTTTCTATTTTGCTTTGTTATTTTTCTGCTGCACAAGAGGTACCTTCTTTTTAAATATGATTATGAATTTGTTTGTATATACATATGTATATACATGATAATTGGTGCCACATTTCGGTGGAAAAAAATTACCAATGAACACGTAATCCCATAATTAGTCGTCGCCGCAGTTTATATGAGTTCGAGTTAACTCAATTTAAGCTGCGCTGAAGGCGGCCACACGGCTACACACATACAAGCGTACATATGTGTATGAAAGTGTGTCTATAGCAGCAGCAATAACGGCTCACCTTCGCCAACGTAAATTTATTAAATATTGTACATGAATATTTATATATATCTCGCCAATGGACCGCCCGCATTCACACGGCCACGCATATACACACCCTGCCGCACATGTGCCTCTGTATGTAGTGCTGCCACTTTGGCCGCCAGGAATGCCGGTTTCGCACGGTCCAGCTCCATGGCGGTCCACACGGCGTAGGCTACTCACGAACCTGTCTCGCCTTGATAATTTAACGCTTTCGCTAAATAATGTCATCGCCAGCATTGACGCGAAGGCGTGCAAATGAAGTGATGACACAATTGCGTGTGAGTGTGTGTGTGTATATATAACACGAGCTATTTAACTTGTCCACCGTGTATATTTTTTTGTTTGTATTTTTTTCCTGGTTCCTTGTTGGCGCAGAAATGTTAATTAGCCAGCAGGCGCAACCGCTCACGCTTTTAATACCTCTTTATTTTATTTTTTCAACTTTTTTAATTAAACAAATTTTTCTTTTTAATTTTTTTGTTAAATTGTCTGCCAAAAATCCTATTTCTAAGCTGTCTCTTATACACATCTATTTTTTTTTAAATTCATTTTAGTATTTGTTATTTTTTCATTTATTTTTTATATATTCTTTTATCTTTAGTGTTTTCCTCCCACACACACACTGGTTGCTCACATGTTGTCGCACAACATTTTTTTTTTGTTGTTGACTTTAAATTTACTTTTTAGTTTTTTTAACGCCTCCAAGCATTTTCTCGGCGCCGCACCCCGCTGCCATGCAGTCGGGCAGCAGCGCCGTTGCCATCCTCGCCACAGCTCACTAAACTTCGTGTAGCTCTTAATGAATGTGCGATTAAGTGGCTGATAAAAATTACATGCAATATAAAATGGCTTCGCATTGATTCAGAATAAATGACAACAGTTAATATCATTTGTTGTTGGTAGCTTATTAAACAGTTTAAAAGAGAAAAATAAATATAAAAGAAATAAGAAAAAATATTGAATTAACAAAATTTTAATAAAAAAATTTAAACAAAAAATTTTAACTTAATTTTAATAATATATTTCAATTAATTCAAATTAAAATATTTAAAAATATAATTTGTTAATTACAATTACATAAATTAAATTATAATTAAAAACATTACATTCAATAGAAATAAAAAAATTTAATGAAATAAAAAATAATAATTACTGGTACATTTAATTATAATTATGAAAACTTGCCAAAATAGTTAAAAGTTATTACTAAGAAATGCATCAGAGTACAATTATTATAGTTTTTTTTTAATTTTTAAATAAAAGATTACGAAAATTATACAAATTAAAATAAATTAATATCAATTAAAAACATAAAACTTAT